GTCGGGCGGGGGGTTAGCGATGATATTAAAGCTCATTCAGTGTCTTCTCCCAGGGTTTGAGTACGCGACCCAACTTGCCCTCGTAACTTTTTTATTTAACAAAAATATTGGGATCTACTTTGTTCCCTGAATGCTCCGGCCGTCCTCTCCCCGAAAATCAAGTGTATGTTAGCCCGCGGGGCTCGCTTCACACTTTCCCCAGACGACACCACGACCTAATCCTACCGGAGTTTTTTTTCTGTCTGTCCTTCTTACGCATTTCCAATACTGGCAAGCCACATGTTCTGTATTTCATAACGGCCCTGTACCAAGAAGGAGTTCAAAGGTATTTACCTATATTCCCCTAATAAACCTAACCTGACTTTATTTAGGATTTTGCGCAGGGCCAAATTTATTGCTTCGGTCGAACGTTCTTATTCCCGTGTCCTGTTTGGGGGGGGGGCGATCTAAGTAATCCTTACCTAGTCTTTTCTTTGAGCCACAAGCCAGTACTATTAGCGCGATGGTTTCGACCAGACGCTTTCTCGCCTTCGTTCTAGACAAGGGTTTGGACTATTTGCAATGTGCATAGCACAGAAGACCGCGAAAAGTTGACGCCTCTGATCATGGAGACGTCACCTTATGTACACCCATCTCACCCGATCGTCGACAGAAAAGGTAGCGAAGGTCTAGGAGAAGTGAGTGCAGGATGGAGTGTGCACGATTTAGAACCCTCAATGACATCAGCAGATAAATTCCTAACCAGTACTCGATACGTCGAACAGATCAAGACAGTTGAGACTGAAATGGTCATTCCGCATTCTTTCGTCAGCTTTAGCCGACCATACACTAGCTTCGGGTCACTTTCGACGCAAGTCTTGAATGGACGTCATCCAATAGGGTGACAAGTTCCCTTATCAGGCATCTCTGGACTGGAGGTTTGTGTAATGGTTGGCCGACCTTGACGAAGAAGTCAGCAGTGGTAGTTTCAATCTCCCCAGTCCTCGAAGACTACGTTGACTGTTGCGCGCCTACACTACAGTAGCTGGGTTTACTCATGAAATCCAAGGATTTTTACATGAAAATCTCTCGTAGACAAAATTAGCCAAGTTGCGTGCCCAAAAATCTTACAGTAGAAAAGTAAACCTCCCAAAAAGAAGACATATTGTGGAGTGGCGATGGGCTCACCACTTGGCCCGTTTCTCGCAAATGTCTTTATG